TTTTTTGGTTTCTCCGATCTAGACTTATAATGGGAAAGGGCAATGGCCATTTAAGGGACTTCATCAGCAACTTAAGTGCTAGGGAGGGATCCCTCTTTCTGGCCAGGTGGATGGACCATCATCTAGGGAATTATTGGGGACGTGGAGTACTACGTGCATCTCGTGATTCAATGAACCCTACATCCTTATCAGGTCCAACTTCCCACATCAATTCTAACCATTGATCTGATGTTACCGCTGTAGAGGGAGAACGGAATACAAGAATAGCGACCTCATTGAATTGTAAAGATGCTTTCTGCATGTTCGCTATTGTTTAGGTTCCATCCATATACATGCGATCATGGCAGATCGAATTAGAGACAAGAAGGCAAACAAGGTGACAAAAAAGGATTGAAACATGAAAACGGAAACAATGGACCATAGCGCCAGGTTGCTTAAGTTGCTGTAAACTTCCGTCTTACGCCATAAATCAAAAGGGTCATCAGACAACCATGTCGAAAGGAAGAAAAAAAAAAAAAATTCGGGAGTGAAACTATCGTGACCGAAAGCGCCGTCTCTGCTGTATAAGTATATCTGTTGAGGTATAGCAGATTAAGAAAAGGGTTAAGATATGGACCAACAGGAAATGAAACATGATTAGTTGTAAGAATACGTCAGGTCGGACCTAGCAGGAAACCAGATTGATGTGATTATCATTAAGAGCAGCACAGGCGAGAACGGTGCGATGAGGATGGAATGCGGTGCTTGCGATCGGAGAAGAGCGGTTGTGATGGAGGAAACTCGAGTAAGGCTCGAACGTCGACAGATAGGTGCCGTCAACGTTGAAAGTCTTGACTTCATGGCGGTTGGTGCCGCTGCAATTGTTCCAAGTTAGCCAAGTCCACAACCAACTCAATGGTAAAGTTAATAAGTATAACACGTACACCATGAATACTGGAGCGTGTTCATGAACGCTCAACGTTCGTAAGGTATCTTTAGTAGCGTACAGTGTCGAAATTGGATTGTCCATCCGAAGATCCCAAAGTCGAATCTCACCGTTCCGACTACCAGACACCAGCTCTCTTAAGCCACCCCGCTGCATATGGACATTGGTAATCCACTGTTTGTGCTCGCGCCATACTTTGACCATGGAAGTCGTGGGCTTGATACGTTGATCGAATACTCTGACTGCCCCATCACCGAATCCAGCTACAAAGATGTTACCCGCAACTTGATCGGAAGTTAGAGAAGTGATGCACGATCCTGAGCGAGCAGGGATGTCCTAGAACATGTAAGGTCAGCATTTCCCCCACATGGCTAGTGTCTAAAATAAAGACGTACATTGGTGCAAACTTCAGTTGCAGCGTTCCATACTCGTATGACTTTCACATCCCCTGCGACTAGCGCCTTACCCTGGCCCTGTTGCCAGTCGAGAACAAGCCCGGCGTTTCGGTTACTAGGAATAAGCTCTGGCAGAGCTCTGAAAGCTGTCACGATCTCGACATCCCTTGTGGACTCGTAATTCCTGAAAACCTTCAGAACTCCATCCGAAGAACCTGTCATCAAAAGTGCCTGATCATCTTCGTTAATGTAACGGACTTCGTTGATCTTTGACCCTGGTGGATTTCCGTTAGAAAACTGATTGAGACGTTTGTGGCTTTGCCAGTCCCAGATCCTTAATAGGAAAAGAAGAGAATGTCAGCATGAGTCACAGCAACATAAAGCTCACCACACTTACGCAATAGTATCTTTGTCATCCGCAACGGCGATATGATCCTCGAACTGGTGAAAGCACATCTTCAGGGGCTGGCTGCTGTTAGAGAGTAGGGCTGTTGAATTATCCCATCGACTGCTGCCGGCTTTACTCTTGAGGGGTTGCGTCTCTGTGATAATCTTTTCGTTACGGCTTCGTCTCCAAAGGCGTTCGTTGTAGTCCGCGCTACCGGGTTCATCGGGCTCATTGGGCTTCATCTGGGGCTCCCGGAAATACTGAAGATGGGTGAGAAACTGTTCATAATCTTGGTTGTATTGCTTGCATATCAAAGCGAGAGATTCTGGGATTACCTCTGTGGACCAGTCTAGGAACCTGCTCATCAAGGGGATGGTAGGGGGGGTTGATGGGGCCCTGGGTTCGAAGCCGCGGGATGTTGGGGTCGGAGCTTGGTGGTAGGCTGTTGCAGGGGCAACTTGGTCGTTAACTTCGGGGGGCCGGGTCCATTCCGGAGGGGCTCGTCCTCGTGGCGTCATGGGCATGCGACTCTTGTCCGAGGCTGAAAGTTGCGACGACTGCGGCTCTGCTGATGAACCTCCAAAGGCAAGGTTTTTGAGGGACGCCGCGACACTAGCAGTCCGCTTTAAACTCAGAGAAAGATAGCCTTCCTGTTTTGGTGGAGCAACCGACGGAGGAGCCGGCGGTGGTGCTGTCTTCTTCGACTCTAGTCTTTCCCGGACCTGCGTCTTCTGTGACAATCTGTTTGAGAGGTCCATTATTTCTTGCCGAATTTTCTCAGTTAGCGATGCCATGGGGGATTGCACAAGGGACAAATGAATATGATCAACGATTGTAGCGGCATCCTGTGCGATGTCAGGATGTGGGTCAACAGAAAGGATAAGAAGCTGTTTCCAAATAGTGCCAAAAGTGGAATTGCGAGACAGCTTCTGCGGCTTATAACTCGAAAGCGAGCCATTTACAGGGCCATTCAGTGCATCCTCAGAGGAGTGACCTCTAGGTGCCACTTGGTTGACTTTGGAGAGAAGGCTCTGCTTCTCATCCTGAAGCTCTTCATATGCGGCAA